CTTCTGAGCAAAAACATCAATCTAAAAGAACTATATTATAAAATGTTAGACACAAACAAAAACACACTGTACGATGATTTTCAGGTACAAGTTCCTTCTCATATGTTGAACTAAATGATCCCCAAATGATGTCTGCCTAGTGTTCTTGTAAGTATTCCCAGAAAGGAACTATGCTATCATTCTAATCAAAGTAAGAAATTTAATTGACAAGAAAGGTAGAAATTAGAAATCACTAACTGAATATAGATGAACGAAGAATTCATTTTAGCTCCCTGGTTTAACAGCATTCTTTTCCAAAATAATCACCGCCATCAAGTTGATTCCAAGTCACAGTGAAACTATATAAGACAGAGTAGAACTGCCCATATGGGTTTCTGATACTGCAAATCTTTACAGGAGTAGAAAGCCTCCTCTTTCTCCTAAGGATTGGTTGCTAGTTTCAAACTGCTAACCATGTTAGCAGCCCAATGCACAACCCACTACTCCAATAGTGTTTCTTACAAAACATTACTACCTGGATAAAATGAATTCTGAGGATCTTAAACGTAAGGGGTTCCTTTTGAGAAATAAAGTTCTTAACAGGATCAGAATATCACACACACAAAAGATACAACTGGCTTCACAAGGTGCTTTTTCATTAAAGATAAACATATAATTTGTTTAGAAAGTCTCAAAACCAAAAACTTTGACAAGCTATCCAATATACATAACTAAACAGACTAAGCATAAAAACTTGAAATGTGAAAACTTACTGAGGCGGCAGGAGTGGAATGTGAATTTTGAGGAGAACGGATTGCAGGAGGTGTGCCTCTTACTGGACTTGAGCCATTTCCACCTTGGTACTTAAAAGAAATGAAAAGGAAGCATGATTACTTATCAAACTATGTTTGGATTATTACTGTGCTAGATATGGCATTGAGAATTCATTTAAATATATCTTATTTTAGACAAAATCCAGTAGCTACATGACTGAGTCCACAAAAAGCAAAACTAAGTAAGGTCAGTTATAGCTAAGACCTCAGACTAATTAGTGAGAGTGTATGCCTATCACAAAAGTTATGAAGATCAGATATTATAGAGACTCTTCTCTAACATTCTGATAATCCTCTCTACTCCAAATCTTGGCAAAAGCAGCTCTGTGTTTTTTGAACCACTATGATCCCTAATATCAATAAACTTAAAAAACATCTACATGTAAATGTTGAGTTAACACACCAAAATCTATTTTTTTTAAGCCCCACCCCCACCCCTCCCAGGAGGTGCACCATTCCTGGAAGTACTGCAATACCAGGTCGATGCATGGAGTGGACGGAGCAAGCTCCTATTCCATCTCCCTGCTCCAAAAATCCATTTACTATATTGTCCTCGAATAGAAGATGTATCAGATATTAAACTGATAAGAACAGATACTACACTTGATCTTAGCCAAAAGGCCGAGAAGGGATACACATCAAAAATCTTCGAAGGGATCAGGTATCAGGCATCATCAGAACAAAAAAAACTTACCATAGTGAATGATGGGGGGAGTGTGGAGTGGAGACCCAAAGCCCATTAGTAGGCCACTGGAGATCCCCTTGCAAAGGGGTCTCGGGAAGATGAGCCAGTCAGGGTGCGATGTAACAACGATGA